TGAGGGGTTGTTAGTGCTGATATGTGCTCCAGAAAAAGCTCCCATCCTGCAAAACTGGACAGTAAGAATAGCAAGGCTTATGGGGAAAATGGAGTTGGCGCAGACTGCTTGTCTTTGCTTAACTTTGTAACTAGAGCATTAACAAAATCATTAATAATTGTACTCAAAATACTTGCACGAGGGCGGTGCCTGTGGCTCAAAGGAGTAGGGCACCGGCCCCATATGCAGGAGGTGGTGGGTTCAAACCAAGCCCTAGCCAAAAACTGCAAAAAAAAAAAAAAAAAGTAGCACAATTAAACCTGTACTGGCACAGGTACTGTAGTAGCAGCCTCAAACCCCAGGGCTCCTGCTGCCCCCTTTGAGGTGCAGGCCCTGGAGGGCACTCATCTCCAGCAGAGGACGTTTGCATCAGAGTTACTCCAGGGTAGTTCATGCACTGATTGTCATCAACCTGTCATTTTAATGCAGGGACAAGTGTCTTTGTGGCTTCTTCTTCTGCACCTGAGCCCTGTGGGCACTACTTGCATGAAATAAAGATACATCTGTGGATTTTCTGTTTTTTCCTCACAGTTTACCCATTTGGTAAACCTGACTCTAATTGTGAGAAAGCTTGACATTGTTACAAAGCATTTAATGTTCTGGAAAGATCAAGCTGGAAGCCATATAACTTCTGAGTTACACTAATATTTATAAATGCATGTGAGAAAAATAGAAACTCGCGTTTAGCAGAACAGACGTGACTGGTACGTGAGGCCGGTGCTGGCACGCGGGGCACAGTTTAAGTGGGGGCAGCTGTCACAGCTACTTTAACAGCAGCGATGACGGCAGTGAGCAAGGCTTCGCGCAGCTCTCTCTGTGCCAGGCACCACGTCACACCCTCTGCGTGGATTCTCTTTTATTCTTCACACAGGGAAGTAGGTGAACAAACAGCTATTTAATACGATGAAGTATTAATCTTTGCTCATGTTTACAAAGTTGGTAAGTGGTGAAGCTGGGACTTGAACCTAGATCTTTCTGCCTCATGGCCTTAGTCATTAATAACCACAATGAAATCCTATTTCTCAGCCAAGCAGAGTCTGAAATGGGTCTACAATGGTGACTGGCCACGTGACTCAGGGCTGTTTTATCCAACGGGGACACCCTAACGTCAAAGTGGGTATGACGTACGGACCTGGAAAACCACTAAGCCTTGTAGAGTACTTATTATTTTCCAGACATAAGCTTTCTGGCTAGGATAGGAGGGAAATCTTCGGACATGGCCAAAGGAGAATTCCAGAAGTGAGACACTTCCTTTTCCGTGCTTTCCAGCTGGGTCATAGGTTTGTGGTGCTGACTCAGGCTGTGTAGGGGCCTTGGAATGGACACACAGGCCCACTTCTAAATTCCAGACAGGACATCCGACTGACCAGGGAACGCATAGCCAGCTGCAGCCGGGACTCCAGGCACAGACACCAACAGGAGAACTTGTGGGGAAATCTTGACTCTTCATCTTGTTTAGATTTTTTTTAATTTACTCTGTGCCTGGAGTTTGCTATGCCAAGTGTCAGGGCCACAAAACAGAATAATCCACCAGGACCTCACAGGCCTGTGGCGCCAACGATGGGCCTCCCACTGAATGTGCTCTGTGGGGCACTTTGTACGTGTTTACAGCTCAGTCATGCACCAGCCGACTTAATGTGCTCCGTGCGGCACTTTGTACGTGTTTACAGCTCAGTCACGCACCAGCTGACGTTCTCCCTGTTTTATAGATGATGAAACAGGTGCCGAGAGCATGAGGAAAGTGCCTGAGGTCACACAGCTCATTGCACGTCAGTACACCCAGTGGAACGTCAGTGGAGCAGAAAGTGATTGATCCTGCTTGGGAGGGCGGGTGGACGATGGTCAGGGAGGAGTGCCAGTCCAGCACAGCCTTCCTAGCGGAGGTCAGATGCCAAACAGGGACAGCAGAGGAGACAGCTGGGGAAAGGCACGAGATGGGAGAGTGCCCAGCGGGCACAGGGCGTGTGACTGTGAAATGCACGGTCCGGGGACCAGGTGGCAGGAGACGGCTGCACATCAGGAGGCAGAGGATGGACAGATTCTTTCTACGAACTGGCCATACCAAGGAGCTTTTTTTTCTGTGGGGAATACTCACATAGGTTTTAAGGAGAGGAGAAAGCAGGTAGCCCAAATTTCATTTTTGGATCTAGTTATGATGAGGGGCCAGGTTGGGAAAGAATGAGCAACCTACAAGTAGAGACCATTCCAGAGACTCTGACAACAGCCTCAGTGAGAATCGAGGCGATGGGGATGAGGAAGGGGTTGGGGAGGAGGGTGCAGAGCAGCCAGGCCAAGGGGACGGATTCCTGCGGGGAAGGAGCCGGGACGGAGGTTTCTTCATCAGGAGGAAAGGCTGACGTTTCACCACTGAGCCTGAGGAGACCTGACAGCTAAATGCAGTGTGGTTGGAACACAGAAAGGACATTGGGGAGAAAAATAAGGAACCTGAATAAATGATGGTGTTCAGCTGGTAATAAGGTATTGATATTGGCTTGTTCACATAACAGATGCACCACACTAACATAGATGTTCACGACAGAGAAAGTGGCAGGGAGGGGAAACTTTCTGAACTAACTGTGCATGTTTTTCCTTAGGTCTAAAATTGTTCTAAAAAATAATGTTGGCCAAGCATGGTGGCTCATGCCTATAATCCTAGCGCTTTGGGAAACTGAGGTGGAAGGATCACTTGAGACTTTAAGATTAGCCTTAGAAATATAGTAAGAAAAAATTAAAAATAAAAATTAGCTGGGTGTGGTGGCACACACCCAATGTTGCAGCTGCTCAGGAGGTTGAGGGGGACGGATCGCTTGAGCCCAGGAATTTGGGGTTGCAGTGAGCTGTCCATGATTGTGTAATGTACACTAGCTCAGGTCACAAAGCAAGACTCTGCCTCTCAAAACATGGCAAAACCAAACACCCCAAAGAAATAAGTAATTATAGTTGTTATAGTTAAGGACTTTCAGACTGTTCCCTCGACATTTGATAGAATGAGGCAGAAAGTCAGCATGATACAGAATTCAACACCGTCAGCCATGAGTACTTAGCCAACACCTTAGACTGCTCCACTCAGCAGGAGCACAGTACACATTCTTTTCAAGCACCCACACATCATCTACCATATCTTGGGTGATAAAACAAACCTAAACAATTAAATAATTGAAAAAAAAAAGAGTAAATATTGACCCCATGAAGCCTTTGTATGTCCAGTCCAGACTCCTGTCTGGGAATAGGACTCAGGTGCATGACTGCAGTTAAAACTAATTCTCGGTTATTGTTTTCACTTTCTTTGCATAGTGTCAAGAGCCTCCACCGAACTAAACAGCTCTGCCTTACTCTGCCATGACTCTTGGTTTCCTAGTATATCACAATCAATCTCCCGTCCCAGAGCAACACTGACAGATGATGACCACCTGGTGTTCCCGCACCAGGATTGATCTTTTATCTCACTTCACTGGATTCCTTGAAATAACATTCAAAGATATTAGATGAGTTTCTCCACTCCAAAAACTGGGTGAGAGAACCAAGAACCAAAAGCCAAGGAGAGGTTCCTTTCCCAGTTTACGACTGTCTCCTCTCCCTTGGGTGGTGAGTGCCTGCCTTTCTGCTTTACTCCAGCTGTAAGCGGGATGTGCCCGACTCTTGGAGCCTGAGGCTGTTCAGGAGTGAAGCCCATCAGCTATGGGCAAGGCCACAGCTGGCCGGATGCCTCACTCTGGTTCCAGAAAGGAAACAAATGGTCTC